AAAATGCTGAGATTACAGGCGTGAGCCACCACAGCCGGCCCTGATCATTTATTTCACCCAGTCCTGACACTGTACTTCCGGAAGATCTCTCCCATCCAGCCATGTCACCCACCTCCAGGCTACAGAGAAACTGAGTGCGCCAAGGAAGTCGCCAGACCGTGGTTGGCAGAATAGCACCCCGAGGACATCCCCAGCCTAGTCCCCAGGCCTCCGAATAGGTCACCTTAAATGACAAGAGAGTTGCGGATGGGATTAAGGATGCTGAGATGAGAGATTATCCGGATGACCCAGGTGGCCCAAGGTCAGTACGGTGTTCTCAAGAGAGGAGGCAGGAGGGTGAGAGTCAGAGAGAAGAGGCTGTGCTGCTGGATTTGAAGATGAAAGACCCGACGCCGCAACCCCACACCAGGGATGCAAGTGCTTCCGGATGCCAGAAAAGGCGGGGAACGGACTCTTCCCTGGGGCCTCTGGAAGCAGCAGCCCTGCTGATACTTGGACTTTAGCCCAGGTGAGACTGACTTTGGGCTCCAGTCTCCAGGAGGGTAAGAGAATAAATGCGCATTTTGTTGTTGTTGTTGTTTTTGAGACAGAGACTCATAGTCTCTCTCTATCGCCCAGGCTACAGCGTAGTGGTGCGATCTCAGCTCACCGCAGCCTCAACCTTCCAGGTTCAAGAGACTCTCCGGTCTCGGCCTCCTGAGTAACTGGGATTACATGCATGTGTCACCACACCCAATTAATTCCTGCATTTTTAGTAGAGGTGGGGTTTTGCCATGTTGGCCAGGTCTCGAACTCCTGACCTTGTGATCCGCCCACCTCGGCCTCCCAAAGTGCTGGGATTACAGGCGTGAGCCACCGCGCCCGGCTCCTTGGTCCTCTTTGATAAGGACACCAATCCCATGCGTGACAGCTCTGCTCCATAACCTCATTGCCTCCCCAAGGCCTCACCTCCTAATACCATCACCTCGAGGGTGGGAATTTCAACATATGAATTTGGGGGAGACACAGGCATTCAGGCCATAGCAGGGACTGTGGGTCTTTTCCTAACCTATTTGAGCCTCAGTCTCCACATCTGAGGAATGGGGACAATGATAATCCCTCCATCATTAGATCACTGTAAAGATCCATAAGTTGTGTAACAGCCATCAGCTGGTGTGACAGTGGCTGTCATTTCGACTCTGACGGTCCTGTGGGCCCTCAGGAGCAGTAGACGAGCAAGTCTGGATTGAAGAGATTCAGAGGGCGCTCGAGATGGTCAATGAAAGTGACTCGGAAAATAAACAACTAGACAAATCGCAGGTTGGATGAAAAAAATAAATATTATTGTCCTCCTCATCCTTCTTTTGGCCTTCTGGCCCGCCCTCCCTTCTCCAGGCCAAAAAGCTCAGAATAATCACATACACAGGTTTAGGGTGCCTGAGGGTGTTTACTGGGAGCGGAGGTCTTAGAGGCCAGGCCTGGGCTGATCACACTTTTCTGGTGATGCTTTTGGGGGTGGCAAGCTCATAGAGGCGAGGGGACGCCTGGGCCACCAGGGAGGCCGGGGAGATGGAATAGGGGTTGTGGCCCTCGTTGAGGCACTTGCGCACTTTGGGCTGGGCCAGGGAGATGATCCGGGGGCTGGCCACCACCTTCTTGGTGACATCCAGCACCACCCAGCGAGGATCTCGGTCAGGAACACACTTGTCCGACTGAGCTTTGGGCCCTAGAGGGAGCAGAAGAGAAGGACAGCACTGAAGCTCAAACCTCAAAGTTCCACATTCAGGCTGGGCATGGGGGCTCACGCCTGGAATCCCTGCACTGTGGAAGGCTGAGGCCGGCAGATCACCTGAGGTCAGAAGTTTGAGACCAGTCTGGTCAACATGATGAAACCTCACCTCTACTAAAAATACAAAAATTAGCCAAGTGTGGTGATGCGTCTCTGTAGTCCCAGCTACTCGGGAGGCTGAGGCATGAGGATGGCTTGAACTCAGAAGGCAGAGGTTGCAGTGAGCCCAGATCGTGACACTGCACTTCAGCCTGGGCGACAGAGCAAGATGTCATCTCAAAAAAAAAAAAAAAGAAAGAAAGAAAAGAAAAAAAGCTCCCATGTTCAGATGGCCTGCTCATCAGCACAGGAATGGAGGATGAAAATGTAGTCCACTCAGAGAGTGGAATATGACTCAGCCAAGAAAAGGAGCGAGGATCTAGCACCGGCTACAGCGTGGCTGAGCCTTGAGGACATCACGTCCTGCGAGAGACGAGAGACACGAAAGGACACACAGTGTGTGATTCCATTTATACGAATGTCCGGGACAGGCCAATCCAGAGTCTGCAAGTGAAAGTGTAGGTGCCAGGGGCTGGGGGATGGGAATGGGGAGTGACAGCTGATAGGGACGGGGCTGCCCTCTGAAGGCATAAAAAAGGTCTAAAATTGACTGTGGTGGTGGTTGCATAACCCTGTGACTGTACTAAAAGCCACTGAAACACATTTTTTATTTTTATTTATTTATTTATGTATTTATTTATTTTGAGACAGAGTCTTGCTCTGTTGCCCAGCCTGGAGTGCAGTGTTGTGATCTCGGCTCACTGCAACCTCTGCCTCCTGGGGTCAAGCAATTCTCCTGCCTCAGCCTCCTGAGTAGCTGGGACTACAGCCGTGCACCACCACACCCAGCTAATCTTTCTATTTTTAGTAGAGACGGGGTTTCACCATATTGGCCAGGCTGGTCTTGAACTCCTGACCTTAGGCGATCCACCCACCTCAGCCTCCCAAAAGGCTAGGATTATAGGCGTGAGCCAGTGCGCCTGGCCTATTTTTTTTATTTTGTTTCATCATTTTATTTTACTTTATTACTTTATTTTATTTTGAGACACAGTCTTGCTCTGTCACCCAGGCTGTGTGTGAGTACAGTGGTGGGATCTCCACTCACTGCAACCTCCACTCCCCGGGTTCAAGCGATTCTCCTGCCTCAGCCTCCCGAGTAGCTGGGATCACAGGCACAGGACACCATGCCCAGCTAATTTTTTGTATTTTTAGTAGAGACAGGGTTTCACCATATTGGCCAGGCTAGTCTTGAACTCCTGACCTCAGGCAATCCGCCCACCTCACCTTCCCAAAGTGCTGGGATTACAGGCGTGAGCCACCGCGCCTGGCCCCATTTGATTTTAGTTTGAGGCAGGGTCTTGCTGTGTCTCCCGGGCTGGAGCAGGATCACAGCTCACTACAGCCTCCACCTGACTTGACACTTCTGGGTTCCAGCGATCCTCCCGCCTCAGCCTCCCAAGTAGCTGCGGCTACAGTCAGGCACTGCCACACCCAGCTGTGAAATCTACACTTAAAAACAGGGTGAATTGTAAAGAAAAAATATTTCAAATGGCCACAGGCAGCCAGGCTCAATGGCACGTGCCTGTCATTCCAGCACTCTTGGAGGCGGAGGCAGGAGAATCACTTGAGCCCTAGAGTTTAAGGCCAGACTGAGCAACACAGCAAGACCCTATCTCTAAAAAAAAAAAAAAAAATGGCCACAGGTACCTGAAAGGGGGACTCAGGGGGCCACAGCCAAGAGCGCTCAAGTCTCCTCACTCTGCTGCCAACCCAAGTGACCCTGGTTCCCCCTCCTCTCCACCTGCTCATGTCATGGCGGCAGGTGGGTCGGGGCAGGAGGCGTCTCCTCTCCCTGGTTGGTGTCATGTCTTTCCCCCTGGTGGCTGCTCCTCAGGCACTCGTGGTCCCCTCCTCCGGGTACCCCCTCCTCACCATCTCTCCCCCACCCCTTCCTTAAGAGCAGGGAGCTGCAGCAGACTGCTTGGAGACTAGGAGGGGATGTGGTCACCAAGTCTGCCACAGCAGCCGGAGCTGTCCTCCACCTTGTCTCTTGGGGCTTTGGGGCCTTTGATTTCCGGGGAAGCTCCCACCTTCTTTCCAGATCCCTCTTTGCATGGAACCTCTGTGCAGATGGATAAGGGCCACCCACTCCTTGGCAGACCAGCCTGTGGCTCTGTGAAGAGGCCCCTGAGGAAAAGAGCGTGGAGTCTCTTCCACTAGGCAGGCAGAACTCCACAGGACACACGGCTGGGCAAGGCCGCCTGAGTGGAAACTGCAGATGCAGCACTGCCTTAGACTGTCCTGCACACACCCGCGCTCACCACACACACACGTGGTGAATATAAACAACTATACACTGATGCAGGTATGAGTGTTGCTCTGGCCCTTGCTCTGCACCCTAATTGTCTCTTCTGCACCTTCTGGGTGGATGTTGGCTCTGTCTGGCAGATGCCCTTGTGCAAGGTAAGGGGGCCAAGCAGTGGGGCCTTGGTGGCCCTAAAGGGGCTGGGAGAACCATGCCCAGAACCTAGCCTTCTTGGAACTCCTTTGTGAGAATTTAGTAGGCATCTGGGCTTTGAAACTCTGTTGAGTTTCCAGCACTCTCTAGCAGCAGCGACTGAGCCCACATAGCAGGTGTGAGCACACACAGAGAAACAGCACAGCCACACACCCGCTCTTA